CTTTATATATTTTATTTGATTTATTATTAAATAATTATGAAACTTTTAACAGAACATTAACTAGCCCTCACAGAAAGCAATTGCAGGGTATCTCATAGTCAAACAATAGCCATCGCTGCTCTAGATACGTTTCCTCTTCCCAAAACGAACGCAAAATCTAATTAACAACACCTACAAGGCACAATTTTAATCCAATAAATATATCAATTTATTGATTTCCAAGCGGTCACACAATTTTCCCATTTTGCCCATTTCCGATTTTCCATTTTTCACTTGAATTTGTTTTGCTCAAATTGACAAATGCTTAATTGAGTTGGGCGCATAAGTTGGCTCAACTTTCGGTTTCAGCCAAGTGTTGCAACTTTCCCAAAAGCCGATTCAACATACTGCACTAGACCAGACTAAGACGGCCCCTCCCCACCCCCTCTCGCTCCACTCCTGCTCTTGGCCAAGTGCGCCTGCTTGCGCATCTGCCGCTAATCAAATCAAAGCGTTGACAGAAGAACTTTCCACCTGAGTAAAAGTTGCGTGCAACGCGCAACTGGCCAAATGGACCGGCTTAAGTCCAGTGACAACAACAACAACAACAATAACAACAACACATATCATAAGCCAGTTGCATTTAGCTGTAAATGATCATTAGGTGCGTAAGCCAAAAAGTAAAAAGCGTGCACGACTAGCAGATATCTTGTTTACACTCGAACTGTTCTGTTATGCACACGCGCTTTGCTTCTTCTTCAGCCAACTTCAAGTTATGCGAGGTGTTCTAAAATAACTTGGCTGCTTACCATGCGAAATATATGAAACTTTCAGGACATATATATGACAACCAAATTTGTGAAAATACGACGGCCTAGGGCTACACCTTCAAAAAAGACAAAGGGGGGAGGTGTTCATAAAATTGAATATTTTGGATGTGTATATGTTGTATGAAAGAATACATTCGAGATTTGATCTCTCTAGCTGCAAGATATGCTAAAATATATTATTTGGCTAGTCGATAATTATCGATTTCATGATGATCAAAAATATATTTGCTGAATGCGATTAGTAATGTTTCCTTCTTGCCTGCGCAAAAAACCAATATACCTTTTCATGGACATTTTCAATGGGTACAGGGTATAAACAACGAAGCCAGACGTTGGACTCGTATTCGCTTTTTGGCTTGGTCAACTATTAGACATTTTGTCCTAATTATGCAGACAAACTGAGACAGGCTTAGACTCAATATATATGGTATATATATATATATATATATATATATATATATATATATATATATTGAGAGATGGCCTGAATGACATATTGTGAGATGGCAACCTGATGCTGCGCTTGATTGGCGACGCATGTGCGCCGCAGCTTCACTTTCCATTTAATCTCGTTTTTGTTGTTTAGTTTTTTTTTTTTTTTATTTTATTTTTTTTTTTTTTTTTGTGCACGCTCCCCATGAAAAATCGAAAGCCGATTTTCATGTCAATATTTTGTTTAATAAACTGCCCGACAATGTTGTTGTTGTTTTTGTTGTTGCCGCGTCTGCGCGATGCGGAAAATATGCAAATTACAAAGCCAAAGCCACGAGTGAACTGCATCGTCTGGCCAGGCCGCGGGCCGAACGACTGACTGACTGACTGGCTGGCTGGCTGGCTGGCTGGCTGGCTGATCGCTTGGAAGACGAAAGTGTAGCCCAGACCATGATGAAAGTTGTTCGAGTAGAATGCTTTTCCAGCGCTCACATGGGCTGAAAGTGCAAGTGGTCCGGTCCAATCGATCGCCGCCGGAACTCTCAATTGATATAAGATCGTTATGGAACTGGGCGCTGATATTACCAGCACATCTTCATGGGTTTCACTCTTCTTCATTTGCGTTCACCGTCCATGCTAATTATCGGGGAATGCGACCGGTTGACACCCAGTCGCCGACGAGAATGCATAGTAGCATGGGTGCACTGACACCTGACCGAGAGATGGACAGCACGCAAGAGATGTGGCCAAAGATCTAAATAGTATCTGTAAGCACAAGAAAAGAGATCTGTATAATTAATATAGTGTATGTTTGTCAGTTTAGTTACAATTGCATTTTTGAAAGATCTTTAAAAATAGGTTTCATACACGCATTTCCACCAACTTTCCACAGTTGCGGGTGGAATTTTCAATATCGCTTAAACACGAATCTATTAAGGCTTTATTTAAGCTTTCGAAAGTTTGAGTTTGAAATCGATCGAAAGAAACTATTTTTCATCATTGCGACGTGGATTTTGCGAAACGTGTGAATTATAGTTGAAATTTATTTTCACAAGGATCCGAAACTTCACCCGCATATTCTCTAACCCTCGATTTTCACCTTGGAGGCGTGATATTTGCGAGAGGCGTGGAATCTCCTAAGTGAATTTGAATAAAGATCATTGAAAATATGCTCATCTTTTTCTACTCAACGTCCGCGTCATTTCCACACACGCGGGCGGAAATTGAACTTTATTTAATATGGCTGAGTTAAGTCTAGAATCTGATGCTCTGCAATTTAGTGCTTTTCCGACCCAACCCATATCTATTGTATCTCACATAGCCTAGATATGACAGTCTGTCCATCAAAGTACGTACTCTTTGTGATTTACTTAAACGGGTTGCGGTTTCTTTGCTGCACTTTCATTTGCATTGTGCGGCACGCTTAGAGGAGCATATCAAGCGTTCATCAGTTGTCACATGGCGGGCCAGGGCTCAGAGCCAAACAAAAGGTCCAATTGGGTTAATGCGACACCTGTCTGCCAATCTCTTTTAATACCCTGCACCCATTGCATATGTTTATAATGGCTTTATTGATTTTGTGCAAATTTATGTAACAGGCGAAAGACCTTGTAGTGTATGAGTATATATGTATTATTGCTCTAGCTATGTCTGTACGTCTGTTCGGCTCAGAGACTATAATTCCAGGAGACTGAAATATAAAAATTAAATTAAGTTCTTGTCAAAATACCGATTGCTTTTCCCATTTCCCATGGACTCGAGCAGATTATACAAATTTATGGAGATATATTCTTGAGCTTTGGTATTTACACACTCATTGATGAAACTTTTATGCCCTGAAAATGTCATAAAGATCGAGCTACAAAAACCGCAGTTAAGGAAGGACTCTAGTTGCAGGGTATCGCCTAGTCATTCATTCAGCACTAGAGCCATCAACTTGCTTGACACGGACTCATCCCATTGACAGGCGCTGTGTGGCCAAGTGCCAAGTCATATTTGGACCTATATATATATATATATACAATGGCTAAGTGCCGTTAAGCTCAAGTTGAGTTAACAACTTAATGCCCAGATTGGGGATTTGGGATTGGGATTGGGAATGCAGCTAGAACTACAGCTATTTTCTTTTGAAAAGCAAAATGAATGAACGCTACATTAAGTTACTTAATAATATTTCATTGAAATTGAGCAATTTTGAAAAGAACCACAGACAAAAGTACTGAATGTGCCTGTTGGCTGGAGGATGCAGCTACTGGCGGCAGCCAGTGCAATTATTTCTGCATTAGAACTTCTTCCGAGTCTGGCTAATGTCAGTTTAAGTGTTGGAATGAATACAGTCAGTCAGTCAGATAGTCAGCTAGACTGTCAGCCAGACAGTCAGCTGCAATGTGGGAAAATATCTGAAGAGCTCTTAACTCAATTCAAACTGAACTCACATGGATCGCTATTGCTCCAAGACTTAAAGCCATTAACAATGCATGAAATGCGCCCCAAGTCCTTAAGTGCATTTAATATATGTACGTTGGCGGCGTGGTGGGGCTTTTGGGGATATTAAATCAAATTAAAACAGCCGCCTGCCCCAAAATGGCAGCCCACGCAGCGCCAGTTGCTCAATGGAGCCAAAAAAAACAAAACCAAAATGTGTGCAGCAAGTGCTCGGCAGCTTGTGGGGGGTTCCCCCCAGTATTTATAAAGTGCCTGACCAAAAATTGTGTCCAACCAAATTGTGATTAACATTTATGGCAAGTAAATTAAATATGAATTTCAAGTATGCACGAAACAAAACTACATTTTGATCATGTAGAAACAATAATAATATTAAGATATAACTATTACTGGCAGTGTATGCTATATTGTGTGTTTGGAATCACAAGAATCTATATTTTTCGATCCCAGCTTTTATAGTCTCTGAGATCGTTGGGACTGTCAACGTATAGAAATAAACTAAACCTTTTTTCTTAGTTTTAGCAATTCGTTTAAACTTGCCTGAGCTTGGAAAGCGTTCTAGATAAATATAAATTATTAGAAATTACTTTAAATATTTAATATTTCTATTTATCTTTATTTAATATTTTATACATTTTTGAATATATTATAAATTCGTAGAGAATTATATTATTATAATAATTTTATATTTATTTAAAATGTTTCTAAAATCAAATAATTGTTGTTTCTTACTCGAACCGGTTCAAATTTTTTTAAATTTTAATTAGAAAGTCGTTTAGACTTGTCCCAGCTTCAAAAGAGGTCCTACTTGAAAATATATATAAATTATAAGAAATTACTTTAAATATTTTATATTTCTATTTTATGATTAATTATTATTTTATATTTAAATAAAATGTTTTTATATTCTAATATTTGTAGTTCTAAACTCGAACCGATTCAGTACAGAGCCTGTTTGCAGTCCAAAAAAAAACCAGTAAGAGATTCTAATCGGGAGCTCTCAACTAGGGGATACCCTGAATTCTCTTATTCCAACACCAAATGCAGCTCGCGCTATGCGCTCGTTTATAGTAAGCAAACTCTACAGCTAACATCTCAAGTCTCTAGCTCTTAGAGGTTCTGATATCCTTGCGTTCATATATACGGACAGATAGGTCAGACGGACATGGCTAGATCGACTCGGATATTGATGCTGATCAAAAACTTTATAGGGTCGGAGATGCTTCCTTCTGCCTGTTACATACATTTACATTTTGCAATATACCCTTTTAACCCATTTTTAATGGGTTCAGGGCATAAAAAGCAGTTCTTTTAAACGAAACATTTTTTTGAATTTATTATAAATTCGTACAGAATTAAAAACACATTAAGCTTAAGTACACTTTAAGAAAGTGATTCGAAAATAAATTAAATGACACAGTGAAAGACTCGCTGTTGAATTGTTAGATGAAATAGTGGATGAAATTTAAAAGCTACTGTAGAAGGCAACTCAATCATCATCGACGATTTCGGTGATTTTGGCACTTTCGGCAAATACGTCTGGGATTTCGGCATCATCGGATCGCTCGATGATGCGTTGGCGTTCGGCAGCCGCCAGGCATTGGGTGGCCACCTCACGCGCCTTGGCACGCGCCTCGTCGGGCAGCTGGCTGAGACCGCTGAGCAGCTCCATGATGTCCGTTTCGAAGAGTTTGGCGGCAATCTCGGCACCCGCATTGATCATGTTGAGTATAATAACAACGCCGCGATGCTGCACGGACGGACTGGGATTGGCAATTAGCGTATGAAGAATATTTAGCCAGCTGGCAATGTTCAGTATCTTGGCACAGCACTTGGTGGAGACGGAGGTGAGCATGGCCAGAGCGCCGGCGCAGGCCATGGCCGTTTCCTCGTCCTCATCCTCGCAGAGCAGTGCCAGAAATTTGACACGGTCGTTCTCGCCCTCAAACATTTTCACCACATCATCGGACATGACCAGATTGCATATGCACTGGGCAGCGGCCCGTGTCAGATACAAATGATCCTCCATTAAATAGAACTCAATCTTGGAGACGCCCTGCTCCTTGATTATGCGCTGACGCACGCTCTCATTCATGCTGGCCAAATTGGTGAGCGCCATCAGTGCCTCAAAGTTCTCCAATGCCGTGAAATCCTGATACAGTAGATTCAACAGCGGCCGTATGACATCAAGCGAACGCTGTCCGCTAAATGCCACCTCCGGATTAATGGTGATGCCGATGCGTGCCAGCGCTTGGCTGGCATGCCGTTTGCCCTTCTCCGTGCCCTCCAGCGCCATGCGCAGAAGTGCCTTAACACCGCCATCCTGCACCACCTTGCCGCGCAGCTCCTGCAGACCGCAGACGGCGTTCAGCACACGGGCAATCAGCTCCTGTGAATTGTGGCTCTCGGTCTTGGCCAGAGCACAGAGCGCTGTGGTAATGCCCTCATTGGCCAGCACGGTTATGCGCTTGTTCACAAAATCCACATCGTCCAGCTCATGCTCCTCGGGTATGTGATGTTTGGCAAACTTGGCCAGCTCCACCATTTCGGGCACCAGCTCCTGCTTCTCGTAGGCATTGCACAGATTCACAAATGTGGTAACAACGCCGTACAGGCACGACTGATCCCCAGCGCGAGCCAAGTCCATGAGCGCGTGTATGGATGCATTGTCCTCGATCAGCTTCTCCTTGCACTCCGCATCGAGCGTGAGATAAGCCAAGCCATCGGCAGCCCAGCGTCGAATGTCCTTGTCCTTGCCCGGTTTTATGAGAAAGCGGCGACAAGCCTCGGCCAGCTTCAAAGCGGCGCCATCGCCAAATGGTCTTATGGCCGCATCCTGTCCGCCATAGCTGCCCAGCTTGCACAGACCGACCAAGGCGCGCACGCGAATGGCATCGTTCTTGGAGTGATACAGTCCCTTAAGTATATCCACGCCCTGTTCGCACAGAGCCTTCGCCTTGTCCTTTTTCGAGGAGGCTGCTATTAGGCATTCGCAGGCCACGCGCTGCTGCAGCAAATCATCCGTGGTAGCCATGGCCAGGATCATTTGCAGAATTCCTAAAAGAAAACAAAAACAGTTAATAAATAAAAATAAGGAGTAGTAAGAAGTAGGATACGCACCTTCCCTGGCCACAATTTGATTGCCCACATCGAGTGGACCATTGAGCAGCGCCGTAATGGCCACGGTCACGCGCACTTTGGACTCCATGTCGGGCGAGAGCAGTTTGTCCTTGACAAACTCATCAATTTGTTCCGTGAAGCGCAGCTTGGCCTCGTCATAGTACATGTTCTCGTAGATTCGGGCCAGACACACCGAGGCAATTGTGCTTGACGAGGCGGTAATATCCATGGCGCTCTCGTATTTGTAGTCCTGTAGCTCGGAACACACCTCCAGCAAGCGACACAGACCGCGTATCTCCACCAAACGCTCTGCCCATTCCAGGGCCGTATAGTGGACATTTCGTGTGAGCAGCTCAATGACTGCATCGCGCGCCTTGCCCGAAATGGTGCGATCCGTAATACTGTAAACCAGGCACGTGAGCAACGTATCAATCTCACGGTTATGCTTTTGACACAGCTCCTTGTTTGGCTTGGCGTCCGGCTTGTTCTTGAGACCGGACAGTGAATTGATGATGGTCTGCAAACAGAACTGTGCGGTACTGACGCAATCCTCGTGCTTCTGGTCGAGCACACGCATAAACCATGGTATGCCCAGTTCTGTTAGCACGCCCTTGGTGCGCTCCACGCTGTTCTCGCACAGCGAGGCCACCACGCGCACCATATTCAAGTAGATCTCCTCGTCCTTCTCCACTTTGGCCAGCGTGGCTATCTTCGTGACACACTGCTCCTTGTACAGCAAATCGGCGCCTGCGGGCTCTTTGGCCAGCACCACCAAATTATTAGCGCCCGACCGCCGCTTCTCGATGGGCGCAGCAAAATCAAAAGCCAACTCTATCATTTGCTTCACCTTAGTTGCGGTTTGTGCATTGCGCGCCGCGTTCTCCTGTACAATCAGATGCAGGCGCTGCAGCATGGGCTGCACAGATTTGTTGCCTGGATCGGCTTTAAACAGCGCCGTAGCATCCTTGTACGCCTCCTCGGGTTTGTTCAATGCCTCGTACGCCTGTGCGCGCCGGAACAACGCTTTGGGATCATTGGGTCCCAGACGCAGCGACTCGTTGCAATCGTCTACAGCCTCCGTATACTTCTCTAGCTTTAAATATGCAGCCGCACGATTCTTATAAAATACGGGCAGTTCCTTATGCTTGGCGCCCAGCTTGATCGCGGCGCTGTACTCCTGCACGGCATCCGTCCATTTGGCGGCTTTGAAAGCCTCATTTCCTTTATCTTTGTGACTGATGGCTTCGGCGGCAGCGGTGGTATCGTCAGTGGTCATTATACAATATTTCTTAATGAAAAACTATTATTTTAGCTATGCACAGTGCAGATGCTTTATAAGCAATGCGAGTGACTCACAATTTTCGGTTGTTTTTTGCTTCTTTTATACCGTTTGGCCTCAAATCAATTGCTGCAGAAACTTCTCGATCACACATACACACACATGTGAAAAATAAGCACGCTGTATTGAAAATTTCAAGCAACCTCTCCAACGTTCTATATATAAATAACGTCCAAAAGGAAAAACCAAAAAAAAAATAGCCGAGCGGCAGCAACAGTTTTCAAATTGCCATTCGCATGTTCGCTGCCAAAACAGCTGTAATCGTGATTTATCGTTAATCGATAAAGCCTATCGAGTGCAGGTGCAAGCAGCTGTGTATTTGTTTGGCTGACCAAAATAATGTGATATAACAAGTAATTACAATTTATTATCGTGCGTCCCTACAAGTCATGCTGTATCATGGCCAACTGCTGTGCCGCCTGCTAACGCGCTGCCTGCACACAACACACGCTCAATGGCAGCTCAACCATTACGATGCCCTGGGCATTGGCAAACGCTCCACACAGAACGAAATCAAGGCGGCTTACTATAAGCTCTCCATGATCTACCATCCGGATCGCAACAAGGGCAGCGAAAGCGCAGCCAAAAAGTTTCGCGAGATCAGCCAGGCCTATGAGGTACTTGGCAATTTTCGGCTGCGACGCCTCTACGACAAAGGCATTGTGCACACAGCCGGTGCCCAATACGCGCAGGATATACCCGATGTGGAAGTGAAAGTCGAAGATGACGCAGAGACCAAATTCTATAAGTCTCGCTTTAAGAAGTCCAAGGTGGCCGATGCTGAAGGACGCACGCCCATCTACGATTTCGATGAATGGAGTAGGGCACACTATGGCAAAAGCTTTGAACGACGCCAGGCGACGCAGGCCAAGCACGAGCGATTGCGTATGCAAAAGGAGCAGAGTAGAGTATCTATTGAAAATGATCTAGTTATGTTTGCCTTTATATTTGCGGGCATAGCCATGTACCTGATGTTTATGGCTGAGACATCATACGATACGCCCAAGCGCAGGGCGGAGGATCGTTACAAGCAAGACCAGGATCAGAAGGCAGTACCAGTTGCCACATCAACTGACGAGGTGTAGCCAAAAAGCAGAGTCTAGTTCACTTTAGTATAGGTTTAAGCTTAACTGTTTAAAATAAATACGCAAATTGTACATTAAACTGTATATTTAAAAATCCTCAGAATCGCCCGCTGCGCTTACGCGCCGTGTACTTGGTGTCTGGACGCGTCTCCAGGCCCTGGCGACGGCGACGCTCCTTTTTAGCCAGTATCCAATCGCGTGATTTCTTGGGCGCCTTGCCGCGTGCATCGCGGCAAGCATCGCGCTTCTTAATGTAGTTAATGCGGCGCTCCTCCTCCGGCGAGCCTGACAATAAAATTACAAATGAAACAAATGATTCATTCTGATGGAATATCGATTTACCTAAAGCTTTCGGCAGTTCCGCTGAGCCGCCCGTCATCAGCACCAAATAGTATTTCTTGGCCTTAGCCGAGTTTGGATAATCAACCACTAGGCCGCCATAGAAGCCCGCCTTCATGGCCTGCGCCGTCACCATTTCAATTTGATCCGAATTCTCGGGATAAAACTGAAAGACAGCGCGTGCCGTACGCGTCAGGCAGGAGAATAATGTGCTAAAGAATTTCAATAGGCGCTTGTGTGGATTGTGATAAGATTTGTCCGCATTGCAAAGCCACTGCAGCGCCGATATAGATATGGCGCCATCGAAGGTGCCTGGCCTAAAGGGCATGCCCTCGCCCATGTCACCCAATATAACATCGCCGGCTACCTCGCGCTCGACGGCAATATCCAGCATAGATTTAGATATATCAATGCCAATCCAGATGTGTTCACTATCCTCGAGCACGCTGCCCGAGAGTCCAGAGCCACAGCCTATGTCTAAAATAAGACGTGGCTCGTCGTCATCCGGCAGCGCCAGCAGCTCCAGAGCACGTTCTGCCATTTCCACCTGAATTTCAATAATGCGTGTGCTAATAAGGAAACAAATAAACAAATGACGTGCAGACAAACAAAGCGCCGAAAACTCACTTTGTGGAATACTTCTTGGCTTCATCGTCATTGTAGAACTGTAAAACAGAGTAGAAGTAATTTTAAATGTTGATTTTGTAAACGTTTGACTTACGATCTCTGGCGGTGCCGAGTGCTCTGGTCTGCGTGCCATTATTTTTGTTTTAGCTTGTTTTCTAATATATCTATCTGATCGTAATAGAAATAAATTAAAATCAAACTATCAAACAAAACCAAACACTGCAACACGTGCAATCAAATGTTATCGATATGCATATAGTTCAAAACAGCTGTTCGCTTTCGATATGTCGTGCCTACTATCGTTGTGCCTAGCAACGACTCATAGGCCCAGTTATCGATTTGACGCATACACAAACACATATCAACGCGTAGTGGTATCTTCATAAAATTCAGTGAAAAATCAACTTATTTGTTTCAAATAAAAGCAATAAACATGTGATAGTGGCCATTTAAGTGTACTAAAGTTCACGCAAACTGTTCAGCGGTAAGTTTGCAATACGATTCGCTAATTAATTAAGTGCAATGCAAACATTTGTGCATGCACGCAACGTGTGTATGCGTGTGTTGCGACTGCGGGTGTGGGTGCTGCGCTGTCATTTGAGACTGCGACAACACGACACGACAGCATTAATTATAGGTTTTTTATAAACACACGAGTGTTAAGAACCATATAACAGTAGTGTGCTAAAATACTCTGCTTAATTATATATAATTCGTTATCAGCTTGTTTAACCGTTATGTTCTGCCGGGTTATTGACTGATGTTGGCCTGTTTACCTTGTCCCAGTATAAGTTGTTGTTGTTGCTTGAGAAAGCGAAAACACAGCCTAGACAAGACAAAAACATCAACAGGAGAGTGCGACGGCCGCCTCAACAGGTTTGCGCTGTCTCGCTCTCACTCTCTCTCTCTCTCGCCCTCTTTTTGCCAGCCAACAGCTGCTTATGCTGCAGCTCCTGCTCTCGATTAAATTGATCGATAACGGATGCGCATTTGTCAATTGCTTCACAACCATGCAGTTCAGTTCAAACTGCACTTTGAAGTAGTGTGAATCTCGTGATTAACCAAAAAAAAATATATATATATATATATATATATATATATATATATATATGGATATTCAGGTTTATATGTTTGCGGCTTATGAATATTTAACAGCTGCCTTCGCCCATGCCAAAACTGGTTTATGGCGCACACTCAAAAATCTTTCACTCTTTCCAAGAACAAAGCGTGAGGACAACGACGATTACCAAAAAAAAAATACATATTTTTGACGCAACACAAATGCGGTCGCTGGCCTCTGTTTAACAAGTTTGCCACACAAAAAAAAAGTATTAAAATACATAGTAAACGACAGCAAGATACCCTGTAAATGTCTACTTCGAAGATATATCCAAAGAGTTGCAATATAATTTTTAAGATTTTCGTTCAAAAAATTCCCAAATTTTCCAGTTTCCAAATTTTCTACTGCCATATAATTTTTATGTGACGGCAGCAAATTCCTTAGCAACAAAGGATTAAGAAAACGCCCAAGAAAACTGTCCATTAGAATAGTTTCATTGTGTTGTTCAGTTCATCAGAAAAAGGCTGTTCTATTCAAACTGTAGCTTCTGGATTATTTCCCCACCTTTGGATATATATATTTTGATATGATCATAAATAGCGTCCTAAATATATCGAAAGCCTTTGTATTTTACGTTATTACGTCTACAAGAATCTTGCATCAAACTCGTTTTGGTCATTTATTTGGCAACAGGGTATTAGAAAAAAAAAACTTAAACTGAGCATCCAATTCGTGAAACCAGCTTTAGTTCTCTTGAAGATTCTTGCTGTCGTTTGCCAACTTTCAGTTACCAAACTGTCTCTCTGCCGCGCAAATCGCTTGAAAAACCCCTGACTAAAAAACTCAAATAAAGCATAAAAAACTTTCGTAAAAATGCGCCGTTATTTTTCGGGAAAATGTCTGCGGCTAGAGCTTGGGCTGCTGCTGCTGCTTGGTCTGCTGTCGCCCGGCCAGCCGGCGAATCTGCTGAACAGCTATCTGCCCGCTTCCATGCAGGCACTGGCCTATTACATCGATCTGCTGCAATACGAGCCGCTGTCCAGCACCACGGCTGAGCCGCCGTTCAGTGCTGAGGGTCAGCAGGATGCGAGCACCAGCCCGCTGCCGCCGACCAGCCCAAAGCCAGCTACTGCTGCTGCGGCTGCTAGACCCAGCAGCACAACGCGACGTCCCATGGGCAGCACCACCGGCTGGTGGCAGCCGCCCAGCTGGTGGGAGATGCCGCAACGGACCTCAACCACGGCAAAACCGACAGCAGCGCCAACGCCGCAACATGGACCAGCGCTGTATGCACCAGCTGGAGGCAGGCGGTCACCTGCGCCGCTGGAGGGTCAGGCGCTGTTCGATGAGATTCACGATGATGCGGACTTTGATAGGCTGCCGCTCTCGTTGATCCGTGATATACAGACGGAGACGCTGCACGATGACTTCACCAACGATGTGGAATCCTTGGATAACTTCTTGCGTCTATATGATGATAATTATGGGCGTGCCGCTTTTGATTTTGAGTCGGCCATGGATCGCTGGAGTAGCACATCGACGGCGGGCAAGAAACGTGTGCCGCCCACCAAGCCGTATGTGGACTTTCTGCTTGTCTACGATCTGCTCAAGCGTGATGCCAAAGCGGCGAATTTGAGCAAATACGAGGGCTACTCGGAGGAGTTGCTACAGCAGCTGTTCGAGCTGTCGAATGCCTCGTCCACGCGGCAGTTGCACACCCTGTTCCAGCGCATGCTGGACCGTGGCGATATACAGCGCAGCGATGTGGTGGCCCGTGTGCAGGGCATTCTTAAAGATCTGGGCAATCCGAATAGCCCCACGTCCAAGGCACTCGTTCACATACCCAGCATGCAGTTTTTGCCCTAGTTCTTAAGTGTTTTTGTACATTCATCGAGCACATAATAAATTCTTAATTCATAATATATTCATTTAAAATCGAGCATTTGACACATTGACACAGTTTGGACAGCCCGCCCACCAACTTCAATATGTTCTCGAGTGTATGTAAGTTATCGATAACGACTGACCAATTTGTTGCACGAACGTCGGCTGCCAACAGCTGTGACGACGTCATCAATAAATCTTTCCCACACTCACACACTCGCGCATGTACACAAGCCACTCTAAAAGAGAAGCACGTAGGCGCGCTCTTCGCTCTCTTGTTTTCTCTTATTTTTGTTAGCAGTCCGCGCGTCGCCCATGCCCTGAACTAGTCGCAATTAAAAGGTTACGCACGCTTATGGCGTCTTAAATTTCTGAACATGAATTGACAAATGTCAAACATAAAGCAGTCTGGATTTATATTATTTAACATAATACTAAATGTATGATAGTACTCAAGACTACTAAATATATATTCCATTAAAAAATTCGCCAAGAATTTATATAAAGTAAAATTCAATATTCAAAGCCCCCTGAATTTAAAGCGTTGCAACTTCCCTGTTAGTGTTTACTTGTACCAACAAATTTGTAACAATAAACAAGAGGTTCTAGTCGGGAGCTCCTGACTAAGGGATACTCTAGCTCTTATTATTTACCAAAATTGCCCAAAAAACAGGAATCGATATCGATTTTTATCGGTTGCTTAGAAACGGAGTAAGTTATCGATTATCGGAAACAAACTCGATCTGCCCAGGAGTTAGGAGCATCTAAATCTAATTTCAAGTCTCTAGCTCTTATAGGTTCTGAGATCCTTGCGTTCATACATACGGACAGACGGACGGACATGGCGAGATCGACTCTGCTATTGGTGCTGATTAAGAATATATATGTATATACTTTATGGTGTCGGAGATGCTTCCTTCGGCCTGTTACATACATTTGGATTATGCACAAATACAATATACCCTTATACCCATTTTTAATGGGTTCAGGGTATTAAAAACGGCATTTTATTCTATAAATATATTCGCCAAGATCTATAAAAATTTTAGAAAATGCATATTCAAAATAACGCATGTGACGTCACACACTTGTTCTCACCACATAACATTTCGCAAATATGTCTCTATCTCTCTCTCTCGCTGTGATGCCTAAGCGGCGTTGGCTATGCCGCTCTCTGCTGCCGCTGTTTGGCTCCAGTTGCTGTTTGTATTTGGAGCGCGAAGCAAGTACCGTTGCGTTGTTGTTTCCAATTAATTTGCATTAAGTATTCAAATAAATTTGCAATTATCTTACAGTCAATAAAAGACAACCAATTATCATTAACCACTTGCAATCTGTGTAGTAAAGAAAAAAAAGCAAGTTAAAATAAATGCATGCACAAGTTTTGTACTCAAATAGTTGTGGCATGAACAAAATTTATCGATCTGTGTGAAAGTTGCAAGCGGTGACGGCGCCGCTGCTGAAAATAATTGGCCAAAAGAAAGTTTTTTTAAATCAAAGTTGTAAATTGCACAATGGAAAACTTAAACTTTGCACGCACGCCGCAGTTTCTGCGCAAAGTCATCAACGAGGCGCGCAGGTAAATAAATTTGCCCGCAACCGACAACAATAAAAACAAAACCCACCACCAACAACAATAACACACACACAAGTCTGCAGTCTGTACGGGACATGCTGAAACGGGATAAATTTGGGGTGGGCTGTGTGTGTGGGGAGTTTGTAATTGTCTGTGCTGCAGTTCTAAGTTTTTTTTCTTCTCAGTATTTATTTTTTCCTGCTGCACCTTACAGGTTTTACTTGTTTCCTTTTACGCTCAACTGACGCCAGCCGCATGACCTCAAACCTTGTGGCGGCACTTACAGTTGCAAGGCGTCTTATGTAACTCGAGCCTGGCGTCGCCAATTGTTCTGCATGGCTTTGATTTCTGATTTTTTTGCGAACAAAAGCAGTCCTTAAACCGTTAGCCCCATTGTGTTGCAACTTCAAGCAGCAGCGGCAGCAGCCATATCTATAGCCATAACCATTGCCACACAACCGGCGAGCACATAATTTTGTGCAGAACAAGACAAAGGGGTTGCCGTTTCATGTCTTTGTTTAGGGCCGACACCCTCTTTAGAATTTGGCTCCTCTTGACTTTTCACATTTACACTGCATATGTGTGAGTTTGAGTAGGATGTGCGCTATGTATGTCAACGGTTGCTTTTATCGCCCAAGGCGATAGCGCACACTTATCCATTCATTGTTGTGTACATACATATGTATATACATATATTGCTATAGTTGTGATTGTATGCGTTTCTCTACAGCTTCCCTTTATGTGTTCGTATAATATAATATTTAACAAGAGTCATCGCATTTATTTAGCTTAAGTGATGCATAACATATTCAATTGTCGACTAGTCCGCCAGTGTGACCTTCTTCTTAGATTTTTTTATATGACAGTTGGCAAGCCCAAGGTCAATGGCAATCGAAGGCTGCAATTTATGGATAAGCAGCCAATGAAAATTGATCGCACAGATTTCAAAATTTTTGAGTGAGTGGGAAGTTTATATGAGCAATATTGTGATTGCAACTTCTAAATGTCATTGACTGCGAATGAGTTTAGTATTGTATTTTGAGTTTATCACAAATATGTTGGACGATAATGTACAAAATCACAAACACATAACTACATAGAATAATGTAAAATATTATTATAGATCTTCAAAAAATGTTAAAAACCGCTGCGTTCAATTTTGGTCTTCTATTTTATTCTCAATGTAGTGGATGAAACGCGATTATAATTAACACACACAAGATATAAGAAAATCAAAATAAAACGTAGCTAAATTTCACAAGGAATATTTCGTGATCTCATGTTATCGTGAACTTAGCATACATAAGCTGGCTACTGACAAAATATTAGATTTCTAGCTCTATCGATGTGAATCGATGAGAAACTATCGATATCGATATAAGTCACAATATATTTGTCAGTCACTGTTACGCCAATGTTGCTTAACTCTTGTTGAATTTGAGAAGCACGCATTTGAAATGAGATCAACGGCTGCTAATCATCATCATTTCCACACCATGTGTGCACACTCACAATTTTATATGCGTCTATGTGTATTTTAATTAATTAAAAACATTCCATTCGCATTGCAGATCATTTATACACAGTGACGACACCGCAGCAGCCGGCATGCCATCAGAAGACTCGACATCGGCACGCGACGAAATGGAGCTCGCCCACAATTTGACGCTCAACGAGGAGGCAGTGAAGCAGTTGCCGGAACATAAGCGCGCAGTTTTTGAGCTGGAATGGTTACGTTATCTGGAGAAGTCGCTGCCACACATGCCCAAGCATGAGATCAAGACGGGACAGAAGAAGCTTGTCCAACAGCTCTTGGAGCGCATACAGGGCGCACCGGGTCCGCCCATGCGCAAGTTGATAGCCAGCGCACTCGCGACACTCTTCTCTGTGGGCGATACCTTTATGCTTTTTGATACGGTCAACGCTTGTAACGATATACTGAAGAACAAGGATGATTCCCCCAGCTATTTGCCCACAAAGCTGTAAGTAGCTGTGATAAATATTCAATCCCAAGCCGGTCATCCAATTGTTTCAATTGCAGTGCCGCGATTTGCGTGCTGGGGTCCATGTACGAGAAGCTCGGACGCATGATGGGTCGCACCTACGAGGACACCGTGCAAATCCTTATACGTACGTTGCGCAACGCCGAATCGCAGGCACGGATCGAAATCATGCACACGCTGGAGAAGGTCAGCGCTGGTATGGGCACCGCCATTGCCAATGTGCACAAGGATATCTACAAGGCGGCCAAGCATTGCCTGTTGGATCGCGTAATGGCGGTGCGCGTGGCCGCCGCCCGTTGCATACTCAAGATGATCTACAGTGCATCGTTTCTGTACCAGACGGAACTGGAGAACCTGGGCACATTGTGCTTTCGCGCCTTTGACGGCAGCAACTACGAGGTGCGCTGCGCCGTTGCCCAGCTGCTGGGCACACTGCTCGCCTACACACAGCAGCTGGCCGAGCTGGCGGCGAGTAACAAGAAGTCCGCTCAAGCCCAGGCTGCGGCCGCCGCACTGCAAGCAGCTAAAGGTGGCGCCTTGCGTCTGGTCTCCCTTGACGAGGCACTGGGCATACTTATGTCTGGCTTTTTACGTGGTGGCGCCTCCTTTCTGAAGGGCACCGGCGAGATAATCAAGGGCAGCTCCGGCGTCAATCGTGAGGTGCGCGTTGGCGTAACCCACGCCTATGTGGTATTCGTGCAGTTCATGGGCAGCGTTTGGCTGGAGCGACAGCTGGGCACATTCCTTGCCCATGTGCTGGATTTGGTGGCTAATCCGAAGGTGGCTTGTTCGCATGTGGATGCCGTCTATTCGCGCAAGTGCATCAACTTTATACTGCGCTCCACCATTGGCAAGATGCTGGGTGAGAAGGCGCAAAGCGCCGCCTGCAAGGAGCTCATCCATTTGGTGGCCAAACAAATGAACTCAATTGACTTTAATCCGGAGAATGCCAAGGACTCGAACCAGGAGACACTGTTCAGTCAGCACCTGCTGGTATGCGCCCTGCAGGAGCTTAGCTCTCTGTTTATTGGACTGGGCACAACGGCCCAGAATTTGCTAACAGATCAATCCCTAAACGCCATCGATGCCACTTGCGCGGTGCTTGTGCATCCGTGTGCCGCGGCGCGTCTGGCCGCCTCCTGGTGTCTGCGCAGCTTCTGCATTGCGGTGCCCAGCCAAATAACGCCGCTCATCGATCGCTTTATCGATGCCATTGAGCAGATGCGCTCCTCACCGGAGGCCGTTGCGGGCTATAGCTGCGCATTGGCGGCCATTTTGGGTAGCGCTCGCCACTCGCCCCTGGGCATACCGCACACCAAGGGCAAGGTGGTGTTCAATTGTGCCGAGGAGCTGTTACGCTCCGCTTCCCAGAATAGCCGCATGTCGCTGCATCGCACCCAGGCCGGCTGGCTGTTAA